TCAGTTGCAGAATGACTTTCAGAGCACATCCGGTCATGGGTAGCATGATGATGATGGTGATATATATTCACACTCGTGTAGGGTGAATATTGACCCTGAGAGCACATCCAGCCATGGGTTGCATGATGATGAGGATAAATGTTCACACACTTTTAGGGCGAATATTGAACAAGTAATTAGCATTTTTTTTATATATTTTACTGGCGGCCATCATGTGCGCCATCTTAAAATGCAGATGGTAGTCAGAATATTATCAAGTTGTTAAGAAACTTTGTTTGGGAAAAATATTAAGCAAGTACTAAGCATCGATTTTAAGAAGACGGAATGCATAATTGCCAGCCAAATGAAGAACCCAAGAAGCGAACTATGAATTGGCAACACCAAAATGAAGCAAGTTCAAACATTTAATTATCTAGTGTTTTAACAAAGAACGACCAGTTTGACAGCAGTATCCGAATGCGCATGGGAATAGCGAAACATGTCTTCTAAAAGCTAAGCAAAATATTAAGAAACAGAAACAAATCCGTTAGAATCGAAGAAAATAGCATTGAACATTTATGTAATTATGATCCATTGATCATATGGCATTGATCTTGAAGCAACAGAAATCTAGTTCTACAGAAAGATGGTGAGAAACCCATGGACTAAACATATAAGTAACGAGAACGTTTTAATGAAAATAGAATGGCGTCGAGGTTTCATCTCTCCTCCAGCATTCTGTTTTCCAGTAAAAGTCAAAAAATTTATATAAAATATCTTTTTTTTTTATCTTCAGTCTTCTGAAATATTGCTCTTTTATTGTTCTCTCAATGTTGTCTTTTCTTTCTATTCTCTCATACTCAGTGATCCCTTGCGTCTTAGTGGCTTTATTGCCTTGCTTGGGGTAAAATAATTGTAAAAGTATTAATTTTATATTCATACCGAACAAGGCGAGAAAAGGTATGCTAGAAGATTTTATTATGTTAATCTTTGAAGAGAGAAAGGCTTGCCTACCATGAAAATCATTGCGCCGTCCTCTCGTATCTCTGGCAAATTTGATAGTATCTCAGCTACGAGGCAGACCTGATAATCGTTATTTTCATTCAACTCCGGCACGAGATAGGGGATAATTTTATTGATGTCTTACTGTGCTGTAATGATGCCATTTCTTCGCCACTCTTTCTTTCGTTGTGGTGTCTAAACACATCTTTACGTTCATGTGTTTTATTTGTCTTGTCTTCTTTGTCCAGGAAGCTTTTATTTCCGCTTTTTTCTATCCTGTTATCTCGAAACACGGAAAGAAAATACAGAAAACAAGACAAAAACAAGCAAAAAAAAATGTAATAATGGAGGGTTTTTAGGTAATATTTATTCCTGTATAATTTGTCTCCGTACAGGTTTATTTTCCTACAGTAAAAACGAGCTAACGATTCGCAAATCGCTTTCTAATCTATGTAGATTTGTGAGCAAATAAATCACTGACATGAAGTAAAGAAAAATACACCAGTATTTCACACTTAACAGAAGCATTCACATAACAGACGGAAATAAGAAACGACAAGAAGAAATAATGACCACCGGTCAACAGAAAGCAAACATATATATATATATATATATATATATATATATATATATATATATATATAATTATTTATTTAAAAAAAAATATGATTCATCGCTACATAAGAGTTCTCATGTTTCAAAACAAGAGCCGAAATATTTCAATATAATTATTTGAATTAAATTGAATTAAAGTACCAAGCTCTGTTCGATCTTCAAGCGAAATTTTTTTTTGGAATAACTAATTTCTGAAATTTGTGCGTTTCATAAGCATATTCATTATTAAAATTAAAATTATTATGGTAACGGCTAGAGCAATTATTTTAAAAAAAAGGGGGTCGTAAGGGTTAATAATTTGTATCAATATCTCAGTTACATTCAAAGACGTCAAGTCAGGTAAAGTTGGGGTGTCTAAATTCAAAGCGGAAGATGACATATATATATATATATATATATATATATATATATATATATGATTGGTGCAGTATAATTAATATTACAATGAAGCAGTCATACAAAGGATAAATTAGTAAGGTTAATGTAATAAATGGCGAAATCACTTCGCTAACAAATGTAAAAAGTAATAACCCACCAACCAGTCGTTGAATGAAGCGATCCTTGTTTTTAGATGTTCCAGAAATATGCTAATCATCCAATCATCATTATGCATGGATATTACTTTTCTTTTTAGGTAAACTTCAGGTAACATTGCTTCATTGTAATATATATATATATATATATATATATATATATATATATAGTGTAACCCGGATATAAGAGACCAGGATATAAGAGAAACCCGGATATAAGAGAGATTTTCTCTGGTCCCAAATTAGAGCCTGTGTTAATGTACATAATATAGACCAAACCCGGATATAAGAGAAACCCGGATATAAGAGACTTCTTCTCCGGTCTCGACAACTCTCTTATATCCGGGTTACACTGTATATATATATATCTGTGTGTGTATGTGTATATGTATGTGTGTGTGTTTATATATATATATATATATATATATATATATATATATATATATATATATATGAGAGAGAGACAGAATGTCTATTATGTTTGATCATGAGCTGTTCTAACTTTCGTATCAGTCGCTTTGGTTTCGGGAGAAAATAATGATAAAAACTGTCCAACATTTAGATATTTTTTTTAATTGTATTGGTCCTCGATTTAAACATTCAGCTCACAGTGATTATATGGGCATTGCAACAGAATTGGCATCCTGTTGTGTTAACATAGAAGATTGCTATGCGAAAATAACGGTCGCGGAACAGCAGACGCAGGTCGTAAATTCGTAATGCGATTCTATGGAACTTAATGATCTGCTGCCCCGACACACACACACACACACACACACACACACACACACACACACACACACACACACACACACATATATAAATATATATATATATTCACACTATTTACATTATTCTGATTATTGTACTCATCTTTATTGTCATATTCACGACGTTTCAGCCGTTGTAATCTCCGGCCTTCTTCAGGTGATATACGTCAGAATATCGAACATAACCCTTTATTTCGTCCACCGGGATAAATTGTTCTAGTTTCTCAGGTTCAGTTTTGTGTGGACAACAGTGTATGAATTTTTGGGACTTATAAATCTTATGTCTCAGTAATCATCTTTTTTTTCGCAGAGCTCATATTGCAATTTGTTGTCATTATTGTTTTTCTCCAGCACTCTGTATTATTGGTTCCCGTACAGTATTTCGTCTACCGGGCTACATTTTTCTAGTTCTACGTGCCATGCCTCTTCTGGATATGTCAGTTTCAGTTATAAGGGTATGAATTTTTGGGATTTATAAAGCTAATGTCTCAGTAACCATTTGTTAACAGAACTCATATTACAGTTTCTTGTTATTATTGGGTTTTTTTCTTTCTTTTCTCTGCTGCACTGTATTACTGGTTTCCATATTCATATGACCACAAAATTCATTCACTGATATCCCCAAAAACACACGGATACAAGAACTGGTTGAAATAATCCAGTAACTTGACCCAAAGATTTGTGAACAAAAAAGCAGACAGGTGAACTAACACTTGGTGAGTTGGGTTACTAAATGTAAATAACTGAAATGAAACTGAGATATCAAGAAAAGCATATATATATATATATATATATATATATATATGTGTGTGTGTGTGTGTGTGTGTGTGTGTGTGTGTGTGTGTGTGATTTATTTTCCAAACACGGTCAGCACATTATGGCTGTGTTCATAGTAGATCACATCTCATTGAAGATTCAAATATACTCGTAGAAAATTCAACTGTAATAATCTCATCTATATGTAAAACAAGACTAAAAATAATGGAAGCATTAATACCATAAAAGAAAAAAGCCAACATTTCATAACATCAATTAGAACACGGCATACACGCGCTGACCGCGTTTGGAAAATAAGAAAAAAATACCATCAATCTAGATATATATATATATAAAAAATATACGCATTCAGACAATTCAAAATATAAAAAAGAATCCATGATAATGGTTAATTGTACAGGCGAAAGCGGCCCGGCATATAGAACATTCGGGTATTTTTTACACACTTTATGATCAGAAATGGAAACATGTATACGATCATAAGAAAAAAAGAAAAATTGAATAAAAAGCTTAATCGCAGTCTTTAATGAAATTCATATAAAAGATAGGTTGCTGCCCAAATACACGCACCCCCCATATATATATATATATATATATATATATATATATTCAGTTGTATGGATATGAGTTTGTAACCCTGGTTTTCACGCTTTTGTGATCATCAGGTAATCTCTTGAGAGTTTATATGATGATCGAAAAAGTGTAAATACCATGGTATGAACTCATATCCATACAACTAAATATGTTGGTTCTATCACAGATATTGAGCACTTTCCACTAAGTAGCGCATATATATATATGTGTGTGTGTGTGTGTGTGTGTGTGTGAAGGAAGAATACACTCAAGATCACAACTACACACACACACATTCAGAACTTCAAGGTCTTTCGGATATGAGGACGTGTTCGGATATAATGTGACATGTGTAATATAAATATAACTTAATAAAACAAAAGAACTTATCGAAATATATGAAAACTTAAGTGCCTCACGAAAGTAAACATTAATTTTCAACGTCTAATGCGCAGTTTTATTTTAAATTGTCTTTCTTCTTTCTTTTCTCATTTCATAATTTCCCAGTATTAAAATTTTCCCCATTAAATGCTAAAATAAATTTGTAGTATTTATTTTTCCTTTTGTTGTTTTCATATTTTGAGCTGTGCAAAAAATGTGGTTGAATTTAACAGACCGAAATGGATATTTTTCTTTATTTTCATTTGCCTTAAGATTTTGACCATTAGTAACATATAAGACAGTTTATGAATAAAACCATGAAAACAATGAAAATAGATATTGTCTGGATGCTAGTAATCAAGCAATTTACTCAGAACGCAAGATATAAGAATGATAGAAACATAGATAGAGAGAGAAGATATGACTGAACAACACAGAGAGATAGAGAGAGAGAGAGAGAGAATGAACAAGATGAAATAAAGGGAGTGGATAAACAGCGAGGAGAGAAAATAAATAAAAAACGTGAATGGAAAAGAGAATAAATTCGTACAAGAGGAGAGAAGAGAGAGTGACTTAAAAGAAAGAACTCAGAGAAAAGATGAAAAAGAGAAAAAAATACAGATAGACTGAAAACAATAGGAAGAAAGAGAGAGAGAGAGAGAGAGAGAGCGAGAGAAAGAGAGAGAGAGGCAAAAAAGAAAGAGAACAGATAGAAAGATTGAAAATGCAATAGAGAGATACATATACACAAAAAGAAAGCGTAAAGACTGAGCCAGAAAAAAAGAGGAGAAAGAGAGACGGAGTGAGACTGAAAATGACTGAGAAGTGAATGTAAAAGAAAGAGAGACGAAAATCAAAAAAGTAAAAAAAAAAAAAAAAATGGGGACAGGGAAATAACATGAGAGAAAAAGAAAGACTGAAAAATAAATGAGAAGAGAAAGATTAAAAACGAAAGAGAGAAAGAGAGAGAAGTAAAAAATGTAAAAGAGAGATGGGAAAAAAACGATAGAAAAGACACAGAGAGAGAAAAACTGGACAAAGAAATGGGGAGAGAGAAAAAATTGGTAAAGAAAGAAAGGATAGTGAAAAGAATAGAGGGGGAAAAAGAATAAAAAGGAAAGTGAAGAGTGACAAAAAAAAAAAAGTGACAGAAACACAGAAAAAGAAAGAGGGGAGAAATAGTTGGAGACAAAAATTGATGAAAGAAAGATGAACGAAATGGAGAATGATAAATGTTGCGGTGATGTGTGATAATCTGGAGAAAACCAGATGGGAAAAAAAGATTTAAGGACATTAGACCAATTCTACAGACAAAGCCCCAATTTACAAAGATATGTTTAGCAGCTGAATCTCTAATTTGGATAAAATCCACTAATGTCGAAAATATCAGACAGCCTCTTGCCTCTTCCTGTCCAGCCGATCTATTCTCTATCAACTTCTGTTCTGAATCAGTCCGGGGAAGGTCATCTTGGGTAAAATTAATGTGCAAATATAGTTGCCGTCAATGCAACTTTCTCAGGAGACAAACACGAAACATTAGAACCATCACCGTCTCCATGATAATTATGCTCAAATCAGACAACCAACTTTGTAGTTCTCGTTTTAATCTATCTATCTATCTATCTATCTATCTATCTATCTATCTAGCTATCTATCTATCTATCTCAGTCTGTAGATATATAATTTCTTATCTGTGTATCTATATTCCTCAGTATATAAACCCAGTAAATGTCCTGATATTCGTTTCCGAACCTACAGACGCCTGCTGAGGCACATTCATGATCTTATAAACTGAACATGCAGTTAACACTTTCCATAGAATCGAGAAGCATCTCTCTTACAAACAACAGTTGAAACGTTTTGCTAAGATTGGATTTGACTTGTGGAATGACTGGGTAATGTGGATTTATGCAAAATGAAAATAAATTTACCTCACTTGGATCTTGAAACCGCTTCACAGATTTCACTCAAGTTGTGTTAACGGGCTAATGCTGCCCTGGCATGCGCATGCCTACAAACATGTTTAGATATTAATATAGATACACACATGAACAGACACCTGTGTACTGTTTTCATGTGTACTGCTTCTGATTATGAAGGTTGAATCCTTTGATCACGTTATCCATCTCCAAATAGCTTGTATATGTTACATGTTATTATATTCCTTGATTTTTCATGACGTGAAATTTATACACACTCGTATGCGCGCACTCTCTCTCTCTCTCTATCACACGCACACACACACACACACACATATATATATATATATATATATATATATATATATATATATATATGTATATGTATATATATACTAATAGTTTGGTAAAAAGCCTCAGATAGCTCAACTTATACATATGTCAAAACAAATCGGTAGCCGAGGAAAAAAGTGGAAATAAAAAACAAAGAACTAAAAACATCGGAACAGGGCGAAATAACTCGTCCAGTGCCTTAACTCTTTAGTCCAAAGAAAAAATCCCAAGCAAGTAGTAAGACTAAAACGTAGAGTGCTCAATACGCTAAGTAGAGCGGGAACAACTAAAATAAATCCTAAAGAGCCAGAGAAACCTACCTAACTTTCACCTAAACGGATCTTCAGGGCAAGCTGTCTAAAAAGGAAATGACGAAACAATATTGATAAAACCATTAAAACCTAACAAGCATAAACCACGTGACAGAAGAAGACAAAAAATGCCTCTATTCCAATAACCAGGATTTTTCCTTTGCCTACACTTATTTAGAATCTCAGATATTTGATTTAATAAATTATTAGATTCATTGTAGGTGGCGATTGCCATACATAACGGACAAAATTTGTGCCTTGCTTTATATTTATAGAATTTTGTTAAATATTTCCCATTTTAAAAAGGGGTCACTGCCATCTTCTTGTTTTATATTCTATATGTATGTGGACAAGATGGTACTATATTTGTAAGTTTCGTAAATGAAGCTACTTAAATGATTGTAGTAATGTTTTTTTTATGTTACCGTGGGTGGATCCGAGGTAACATTTAGTGTTCTTATCTATCTTATTCGCTTTATTTCTTTGTATTTCGTCTTTATAAACCACACACTCTTGTTGGCACCCGCCCTTAAGTGAACAGGCGTCCTTATTTCTACAGTTACGTTTAGGGTGGGAGTTGGGGTGTGGTTTGTCTGTGATTTTTTCCCTGTTATATCTATTAATTAAGTTAGTCATATTTGGCATACAACTATAACTTAATTTAACGTAGTTTTATTGAAATTTTTATACAATACATTTGTCGAGGTGAAATTCTTTTTTTTAGTAATCTAAAAAACATTTTTCCGGTTTAGTTTTAACTGCTAAATTATAGGGCGGGGGGTACACCATAAAATAGCTCTATTAAATTAAAGGCGGGGGCTAAACCATAGCTCTATTTTTGTGTTTGCCTTGCGTGTTAGGGGAATTACGAGTATCAACATATATTAATTTGCTTTTGTGTGTCCATTATTTTTTAAGGCGTTTTCATTATCTTGTTTATTTTTTATTAAAGATATTATCATTAGATGAATTATTGGACAATCTATAACTAATTCTAATTTAATAACTAGGGTGGTTAGAACCTACGTCAATATAACGCGGCTGTTGGTTGCTTTCCTTAAATGGGGAACTTGTGCCATTACGTAGGTCGAGGGTAATGTCTAAATAGTCAGTGACTTTTAAATTAGTTTGTATTTCTAATTTAAATCCGAATTTTTTAAACATGCAATGTAATTTTTTACGAATTATGTCACTTTTTCTAGGGGTACATTTATCTCTTATAGTTAAACCATGGTCTCTGTATAGACCATGGTTACTAGGGTCAATATACTTATTCAAATTATTTAATAGGAGGCACCCTACTAATTCGCATACATCGGCTCCGTCATATGCCCCCCATGGGGTTGTCAAAATTGCTGCTGTCACCTTTTTTTTATCAATACTACATCGTTCTGGTATAATAACGATTTGTGGCAATGCCTAATGAGATCGATTTTATCATTGGATATTGAAATGAAATGAGATCGATTTTATCATTGGTATTGAAATGTACTCCTTAGCCAACTCTAAAGCTTCATTAACCGTTTTTTCCGTAACAGATGGGTAAAATTCTTTTATATCATATTTCACAAAAGAACATTTCCTGCTTTTGTCATAATTATTAAACCATTCTATGCAATCAAGAGTAGAGTATTGGTTAATGTTTAAAACTACTTTCAGTGCTTCACATATAATTTGTAATATTATTTGGCTGATTTTACCCATTTGTGTTTTAGTCGGGTTGATTAACTTACCCTGAAGATCCGTTTAGGTGAAACCTAGGTAGGTTTTCCTGGCTCTTTAGGATTTATTATATATATATATATATATATATATATATATATATATATATATATATATATATATATATATATATATACATAGATACATATATATATACATATATATACATACATTATATATATATATATATATATATATATATATATGCATCCGCGCATAAAGACAACTTATCAACACTAATATTTATGTACATGTATTTGCAGCTACTCACATTCAAATATATTCATATATCAGTATACACATATTAAGCTGAAACACAAACTCATACACACACGAGCATATACACATTTATAATGTAGAAGTCAGTATCTCTCTCTCCATATATATATATATATATATATATATATATATATATATATTATATTATATTTTATATTTAGATAACGTAAAACACAAACCCATATACACATACATATCGACATTTATAAAATACAAACCATTATCTATCTATCTATCTATCTATCTAACTATTTCGCAGTCTGTTTAATCTATCTAGCTAGCTAGATAGCTAGTTGGAATAGATAGAATGATAGATACATAGCTATATATCTTCATAATAATTTACTCCCTAAATGTACTCCCTTACAAAACCTCATTCAGTAACCCTCTAACTTGAGTTACTCATGAACTTTGGATGAGATGAACAGTAATATTAAAAAGTCTCTCTCCCCATCTCTCCCACTCCCTCTCTCATATTATTCGAGACACCCATTTCTTAAACATTAACATATTTCTCATCTGTACGTAATAGATTTCTCAGATGTAGTGGAGATAGAGCTTTCTATTAATTTTAAATTTCCCAAATATAATTAATTTAAAATAATTTAATTTAATTAAAAATTAAAAATGTTATTTGTGGCTTAAATTAATTTTTCACTCTAATTATTGTTTTTTTTTCAAATCTAAGTGGATCATAAATTTCTCATTTCATTGTACTAATAAAATACGAAAAAAAAAACTTAAATTTACCGTTCTTTTTTGACACCACTTGTGTCACACACACACACACACACACACACACACACACACACACACACACACATATATATATATATATTTTATATTTATTTATATATATATATATATATATATATATATATATATATATATATGTTAAATATATAGAAAATAGGAAAGAACTTGTTAGGTAAATAATCCAAAGTTCTTTAGTATTTTTGTTATTATTTTTAAAAATATGCTCGATACAAAAGTCGAGCATAAATATAATTATTTATTTAAAAATATGATTCCAACACGCTACATAAGAGTTCTCATGTTTCAAAACAAGAGCGGAAAACTTCAATACAATTATTTGAATTAAATTGAATTAAAGTACCAAGTTCTGTTCCATCTTCAAGCGAAATTTTTTTTGGAATCCCCAAATTTAATTCAATTTTCAATTTAATTCAAATAATTATATTGAAGTTTTCGGCTCTCGTTTTGAAACATGAGACCTTTTATGTAGCGTGTTGGAATCATATTTTTAAATAAATAATTATATATATATATATATATATATATATATATATATATATATATATATATCCGTGTGTGTGTGTGTGTGTGTAGCAAAAGTGAGAGAGAAATAGATGAATAAATGCTCGTACGAAAACATACAATTATATCAATGTTTTTGCGAATAAGTCACGTCTTTGGAACGGATTCAAGCTAATGATTACGGCACAACCGATGAGAAGTTCGGCCATAAAGACAATTCGATTCTTTCTTATTTTTTTGCTTGAGAATTCTCCAAAGCTGGCATTGTTTTTATTTTTATTTTACTAATCACCTTCTAGCTTTTTCCCTGTCCCCACAGGAAAAAAAAAAATTCTCATAGAATTTCAGAGGAAGAAATAAAAAAAAAATCAATATTCAATAAGGGAAACGGGAATACAAAAGCAGTAAAGTTTCGCGTAGTAAAATCTTTCATCCTAGAGAAGTAATCGTTA